TGTGATGGTCTACATCCACGGAGGATCCTACATGGAGGGGACGGGCAACATGATCGATGGGAGCGTCCTGGCCAGCTACGGAAATGTCATCGTTATCACTCTCAACTACCGTGTCGGAGTCCTCGGTAAGCATCTTTTCCTTTTTTTTTTCACTTCACCTCCTTTTTCAAGGACATTTTTCTGGGCCATCTTTTTAGGGCAGCTAGGTGTAATGAGCACCGCTGATTGCCACATACACTCAAAATATGGCCGAGGGAAAAAACACAGCACTGTAAATACACAGACCGGTTCCCGGGCTTCTTGTTGATGTGGTGCTCGTGTATCAAAATCACAGTAATTGAGTGTGCTGAATGTGGGTTTGTTGTTGTGACGGGGGTTTAGAATAAATTAAGAAATTATTGTAATGAGGTTGAAAAAAATTATGAGATGGGCGTGATGCCGGAGAGATAGAGGAGAAGAGAAGAGTCTGTCGGAGAGATCGAGGGGTTCTCTCTCTGAGTTGTGGATGGTTGTAGATTGACTCACACAGCTGAATCCTCTTTCAGACACTTGTGTGTGTGAGTGTGTGTATGTGAGAAAGAGAGGGAGAGAGGCAATGGAGAGGCAGAGAAAGAGAGAGAGAGCAAAAGAGAGGGAGAGAGAGCTCCATGGAAACAGCTGCAGCAACACAAAATGGAGTTTGTTAGCACACTACCCAAGCTTTGTACCTTTTCCATCCATCTCTCTGACACAGCGGATTTGCCTCCTCTCACATTTTTTACATTTAGAGTGGTTCTATACTGGCTGCAAACACTTTGAATATAATATAATTTATTTTTGCATTTGTTGAGAGTATTCCCTAAGATTTGGACTATTGTTGGCTCCTGTTCCTGCATAAAGAATACAGCCACTATGGTATATCCTTTGGTCAATAAAGCCAAAACCAACCGTTCATAAATTTGTCCCTCAAAGTCTCTGTATGTGACTCACACACAGCAACAAGCCTGTTGGTTCTTACTAAAAAAGTTAAATATTTAAAAACCAAATATGTAGTTCAGTTTTGTTGTTCCAATACAGTCATTTTCTGTTTTTCATTTTCTAGTGAATATTTACAGCAGCAGGACAGTGTATGCAGCATTGACTCAAGTAAACAATCTGATTTTCATAACTAGACGTGGCTTAATTTGAACAGGTTTTAAAAGGCAAAAAGGTTAGGGACCACTGAGCTGCATCAGGCTTTGGCTCCTTGTTAGTCCTATATTTGCTTTGGTCTTTTTTGGCATTTGTTGACAACAACAACAAAAATCAAAAGAATATCACCAACCTTATCCTTAAAGAAATGGTCTGCCCCACCTTGCTGCTCAGAGAACTCCACATCAAGAGCAGGAGGGTGACTGAGAAGCGCTGCTGCTTTATCCTCTAGGACACTGAGATGACTGGTGTGGTTGAATCACACAGGCACAACTACATTCATCCAGACTCTCTTTTTGATGGAGATGAGAGCGCTATGGCCTATCGATTTTGTCATCAGGATAACTCACCTTAAATGCGCTGTGTTTTGCTCTGTCATTTTTGTGGAGTATCATTTTGAGTGTTGTGATCAGCCTTCAGGGTGGTAAGGTAGTCGGAGTACTGGCCGAGCATGCTACCTCGTGCTCCTGCCTCTGGTTTAAAGCTGAGCACGTAAGCACGTACAGATTCATGATCATATTTCTTTATGGCACTTCAATTATGAGTCAGATGTTTCTTCCCTCGCTGCCACATTTCGCTAAATGTCATTCTACATGCATGCACACACACCCTCCAACACTACATACGAATACGTGTGCACACTCACACACATGCGAGTGTTCACGCTGGCACAAGCACGCGATGAGCACAAACACTAAGACACGAGCAAAAGCAATCTACACATACAGATGCGGTTTGCCCACACGCAAAAACACACAGTCTCAAAAACACGCACAGACATACACACACATACAGTCCATAAAGCAGCTCTCTTGGTGAGCTCCCCAGCAGCCATTCTGAGAAATGAGCAGAGAAGAAGTGATGCATGTAGTTGAGCGATAATGTCCATTGCTGTAGCATGGTCTGATAATCTCCCCATGGTACGGCTTTAAACTGTTATTACAGACACACTCGTATAAACCAAATAAAACCAAGGCCAGAGAGAAATCAGACCATGATGGGCCAATTAACACTAAGCTGTCTGAACATTTTCAGTCATAAAGTGTGATTTGCAATACTCAGAACATGAGAAATCATAATTACATGTCTTTATTTTATTTTTGTTTGCAGTGGGTTCTTTTTATTGAAAATGAGTGTTGCTACCAGTTTGTTCATTAATCTAGTCTAGACAGTTTTAAGTGGAGTACACTAACTGTTTGTACTGGACACTGTACATTAGCCACAGCACACACAGTTGAAAGCTATGCACTTGCAGTGTAATATCGGGGCATCTGACAGCTGGATGAGAGCAAATACTCCAATTTTTACTTCTTCTATGGCTTCAACTCAAGTACTGTGCAGCAGGACTCCCTTCATTTGAATAATGAAAAAGAAAGACTTCAGTAATTTTGATTCTATGCAGGGTGAAGCAGTTTCTTGTTGAAATGCTAAATAAATAAATAAATAAATAAATATTAATGAAAAAATGAAAGCTCTTTTAATTAGGCTGCTTAAAGGGATGAGGGAATAATGGAGGCAGAGAGAATTAGACAAGATAATGAGTTTAAAGTGAAAGCAGACAAGGCAACTCAAACTACGCTTTCTGACACTAATATAGCTCTCCCACCATCCCTGTGCAATGTGAATATGGCATTAATAATGCAGTAAACACCTTTGAAATACACACAACAATCTGAATATTTAACTCCTTTCACAGAAATAATAGAGCTAAACTATTAGGCAACAACAGCACTCACTAACAGATCTGTACTGAAAGCATTTTTAATGTGGAGAACACATTAAACATTTTCACCAGCAAATTTTAACAAATTGAACAGCACCGAACCTTAGTAAATGTCAGCAATTCATGTTTTATTTACCTACTGTATTAATTTAATTTTTGTTAAATCATTTTTGTGGTAATACTATTTCCGGCTTTACAGGGTTTTTCCAGATTTTACTTAAAAGGAGTGAAATTATTGTGCATTTATAGTGCTGAGTGTGTTTGTGAAATATAGATGTAGCAATCGTTTGGTGTTTTCCAAAGCACAGGCCACAGTGGATTTGGCTCTATATTTCAGTCTGTTTTTATTATATGTGCATGGCCGCTGCAGATTCTGCAGTAACTACAACACAAGCTGAAAATACACTTGCAGAGAGAAATAGAAATAGACAGAGGAGAAAAAGAGAAAGGGAGAAATACTATAAAAAGAGGTAACATGGAGAAGAGTTGTACAAATCCAATTCGGAGACTCTGATGTGTTGAGTCGCTGCCACTCCCGTTCCAATTAAAGAGGAGTCCACTAAGTTTCTAGTGCTGTTCTATCATTCCCCTGCAGCTCTTAGCCCTACGCAGCTGTAATGGTAATTATTGCTTCAAAGGATGGACCACAATTCTCCTGAGGCCCCATTTGGAAACTTTCATATCTCAACCTTTCACTATTTAGATGAATGAGAATTCATATCAGATTTAATCTTTAATTACTTATTGACCCACCACAGTATGAGTATCACCAGATGAGATATGGAGAATAGAGTTTTACACCGTCCAGACTGTCCTGTTAGGACTCATCACACTCTGCTCTGGTCAGGGACCTGAAGAGCAAGAGTTTGTTTACCAAAGAGAAACAGTGTTTGGATTTCTGCTCATTGATCCATATGTGTGTGTGTTAGAAAGAGACATTGTGTGTGTCTCAAAGTGTGTGACACGTGCATGTGGAGGGGTGGATGTGTGTGGTCCGTGCACGTGGTGCGCGTGCTTAGTTGCCGCGCCTCTCTAATGATGTGTAATGAGTCCCAGTCAGAGGGGAGTATCTTGTATCACTGCTCTTTACAAATATAATTACTCACTGGCTCTCCAGAGCATGTCAATTTCCCAGTCCATTGGGGGGGGGGACTTAATTACTAGTTTCAAAATGCATTAAAAATTAACAAAGGCTGCATCTCTTGCCAAAACCCAAGGTGAGACTCTAAAAAGCTGCTCTAAAAAGAATGGTCAAGTACGGTCTGTACTTGAGAAGTTTTCACCTCTGACAGGGTTTGTTTGTGACCTTCGATGTCTATCTCCCATATCTCTTTGATCACAGCCATTTTATGGTGGGGCCGTCAATGCTGTCACCTTAGTCTACCCAAGTTATTCAGACCTTCAAAAGAATAGTTTCAGATCCAATCAAAATAACCTCAACCTACTGTATGAGTGTATGTGAAAGCGGCACTCAGCACTGAAGCATCAGCACAGGTGATTTAGCATTGATTTGTTCAATTGAGTTATTTTGTGCGTGGTAAGTGACTCTGCTTCTTTCTGTTATGTTCCTCTCCTAAACTAAAGATGGTGACTGTTGGTAATTCAACCAGGGATTTGGGGAGCGGGGGATCTTTGTGGCTATGTGTGAACAATATTGTAGAGCAACAGACAGTCCATCACACAAGTTTGTATAGTTGTTTTTCATACAGAAGTACTGCCGAGCTCCACTGAGAGCTGGACAGCACCCAGTGGGCTTGTGACTTTCTGACTCAGACACTGTACTCTGCTGGATGTTAGTTAAGTAGTAATGCAGGTCATCTAGGATGTCATCTGAAAACTTCCTTTCTGCAGTCTAAAACATCTGCACTTGTCATTTCAAGTGTCTTATATCCTGATAAAGTCTAGATGCAATTGAATATACTTCCATTTACACTTAACCACAACTATACACCTCCCCTTTGGCCAGATCACAAATCTGGTTGCAATCTGCCTTGGTTACATGCAAATCAAGGCTGGTCCTCCTAACGTTCAGAGGGTTGTGGTAATGCTAAGCTACAAAAATGAACAGTTAGTTAGCTATCTAATAACCACTAACACAAACATATGGATATGGATGAAAGTTTGATTGTCTTCACAGACTGTCAAAAATCGCCCACACAGATCATTTAATGGAGATAAACACTACAATAACACAGTGTACCTTCTTTATGCTCATCAGTGGTGGATAAAGTA